TTTATCATTTTGTGTTGTGTTCTTTATTGGGAGGGGAGGTGCCTGTGTGTGCACAGGTGCGCGCCTTGTGTGTGTGCACAGGGAGGCCAGATAAGGACTCTGGGTGTCTTGTGTATCGTGGTCTGCCTCCCACTAAACCTGTAGCAGGACATCAGGGCTGAGCCTATAAGCTAGGTAATAGAGTGCTCTCCCAGCATGCATGGAGGCCCTGGGTCTATTATATGTCTATAATCCTTGCGATTTAGAGGTAGAGGCAGGAGCATCAGAATTCCAACACTATTCAGTGACTTCAAGGCTACCCTGGACTAGGCTGGGGAGATATGTGGTGATATATTGTTTATGATTTGTCAAAACCACTGGAAATCAAAATAGCAAAGCAGTCATACTAGTTAGCTATAGAAGCCAGGCAGTGGTGGCACAGACCTTTCATCCCAAGACCCAGGAGACAAAGGCAGATGGATCTTTGAGAGTTCAAGGCCACCAACGGCTACACGAGATTGAATCAGTTTAAAAGAGGAAGAGAGCTCATGCCTTTAATTCCAGTAATAGAGAAGTATAAAAGATAAGAGCAGGGGGGCTGGAGAGATGGCTCAGAGGTTAAGAGCACTGGCTGCTCTCCCAGAGGACCTGAGTTCAATCCCTGGCAACCCCATGGTGGTTCACAACCATCTGTAATGAGATCTGGCACCCTCTTCTGGCAGGCAGGGATACATGCAGACAAAACACTGTACACATAATCAATAGATCTTAAAAAAAAAAAAAGATAGAACAGGGTCTTTGGTAGTCAGTCTCTCGCCAGTCACACTGAGGAGAGGCAGCAGAGTCTGAGACTTGGAGACAGGATCACCTTTCTGTCTGAGGGAGAGTGAGAGCTAGTGGCCAGCTGCTTTGCTTCTCTGATCTTCAGCTTGGAGCTTGAATCCCAGTATCTGTGCCTGGGTCTTTTATGTTTCGTGTTACAGAGATGCCTCTGTCAGTCTAGTACTTTCTGCAAGAGGACCTGTGTGCATAGCTCCAGAAACGGGGAGCGCGTCCCGTCTTTCCAGTGCCGGGAGGGGAGATGAGAAGTTCCTAGAAATCCAGCTAAACCATCAAACCTTCACTGAGGGGCCTGCCTGTAATAAAGTGGAGGCTGGAGCGCTAGGCACCTCCATGCAGAGTCATTACCGCTCTTGCAGGGGAATTGGGCAGTTTCCAATACCTACATGGCTGCTCACTGGTGCCCATAACTCCAGTTTTAGGGGATCCAAAGCCCAATTCTGACCTCTGTGGGCACCAGGCATCCATGTGGTATACAGACATATGCAAAGGCAAAAACATTCATCTGAATAAAAAATACAAATAAATAAATCCTAAATGACAACAAAAAGCAGATAGCAATTGAAGAAGACACCTGCTGTCCACCTCTGCCCTCCACAGGCATCTGCACACCTGTGCGCACCCTCTCCAGATACACAAACACACACAGGAAAACATACAAATAAAAAAGAACTAAAGGGGCTAGTTTGATGGCTCAAGTGGGTAAAGGTGCTAAAGTCTGAGGACTGAGTTCAATCCCTGGAGCTCACACATAGAAGGAGAGAACTCACTCTCAAATTTCCTCTCACACTCACACAATGTGATAACATACATCTGTCCCATGCAACCAAACACACCACACACATATACACATCACATGCCACACACACCACACACACATCACACACACACACACACACACCATACACACACCACACCTTACACATACATATACCACACACACACACCATACACATACACACACCACACATATACACACACTACACAACACAACACAACACATACACACACACCACACCTTACACATACATATACCACACACCATACACACACACACCACACACACACACAGCACACACACACAAATCACACACATACACACACCACACACACCACACCAAACCACACACACACCACACCTCATACATACATATACCACACACCACACACACATACAGCACACCACACACACACCACACCACACACCACACACATACACACACACATACCACACACACCACACACATACCACACCACACATACACAAATGTAGGGAGAGGCAGAGAGACTGCTTAGCGGTTAGAAACGTTTTCCAGAAAGTATTGACAACCTGAGTTTGATTCCCTGCTGTCACAAGGTGTCAGGAGAAAATCAACTTCTGTGAGTTGTTCCCTGACTCCTCAGGCACCCCATGACACTCGTGCCTGCATCCATGCACGCACACACAAATAAATAAAATATAATTTTTATGTAAAAATATCTCAATAAATTTAAAAAATATATGTTTTTTTTTAATTCAGGCTGGTGAGATGACTCATTAGGTAAAGCGCTTGTTTGTCACCAAACCAAAGGACCCAGTTAGTGGAGAGCACATGCTCCTGAAAGTTGCCCTCTGACCTGCACACATACACCATGGTATGAGAACACACACGCACACATAAGATGTAATAAAAGTAACAAAAAATGTTGTCTTACAAGAAATATTGGAAAGCAGGAAGGAAGGAAGGAAGGAAGGAAGGAGGGAAGGAAGGAAGGAAGGAAGGAAGGAGACCTCTCTGTTTTCAGATCAGAACAAATCTAGATCCAGCACCGAGGTGTGAAGATCCCTGGGAGGACACTTCCCTCTGGGACTGTCAGTTCCCAGCCAGCTGACTGCAGATTTGGAGTCTGTTAGGAACGCTGTCTGTTGAGGCTCTCCTGGAATCCCCTTCCCAGTTCTCCGTGCCCGAGGCTGCTCTGTGACTGCCACCCAGCCTGGCAGTGTCCCCACACCTGCCCAGGCCTGAATCGCCGTGACCACTTAGTAAACACTTTTATGAGACACACACCCCTTAACGACTTCCAGGGCAGTGAAGGGGGTAGGGGTGGGTCTCTGGCCTCCCCTCCCCCTCCTGAGTCACTCCTCCCAGGATGATTCCGTTTTCACATTTGCCATCCTTGTTCCTTGTTTCTTTTTTCTCTCTTTCGAAGCTCATAAACACTCTGGCCATTTTTACCAGTGTCTAAAAGATATTTATGACCAAATATGGAAAACGTGTGAGAATTAGCGCTTAGGGGAGAGAAAATTCTGCGCAGAACCCCTCAGCAGGCCCAGCCTGAGTGTGCAAATATGTCCCTCTGGCTAGTTATGGGTTGGATGCGGAACTATTTACTGTCGCTCAGTAAGGGGTGGCCCTGCAGGGCTTTAATGGCCATCAGCTTCCTGTTTGGACGTTTTTTTTTTTTTTTTAAATAGCATTTGTAGGCTGTAGAGCGAAGGAAGCAGAATAAAAAGATGTCGGACCCAGGTTAATCAAAATCCATTTTGACACTCTTGATGGCCTCCCCAGACTAAGGTTCTCACCGGCTTTGTATTGACAGACGCCATTTGCTCCTTTACGACGTGACAATAAAACCCTCAGCCTTGCTCAGGCTACAGTCCTTTCCCTCTACAGACAGGAAAGAAGCAAATGGCTCAGAGCCCCCCCCCCCACCGCACAGCAGGCATATTTTCATTAACGATGATAACTTTACGAGGTATGGAGAAGCACTCAGAGGAGCAGGGCAATCTGGAGAAAGGGAACCCCACGGACTTCTGCTTCTGTGCACCCCAAAGTAGTTACATTTGCTAAATGACCCAGATTTTTAGGCCATTACACAAGAGAGAAGCCACATTCTTGAACAGAGAATGGGCTTGCCAGCAAAATCCTGCACATATATATATATTAGAGCATCTCTTTTCACAGGGTGGTGGTGGTGCACGCTTTTAGTCCCAGCACTTGGGAGGCAGAGGCAGGTGGATCTCTGTGAGTTCCAGGACAGCCTCCAAAGCCATAGAGAAACCCTGTCTCGGAAAAAAAAAAAAAGGAAGAAGAAGAAGAGGAAGAGGAGGAGGAAGAAGAGGAGGAGGAGGAGGAGGAAGAGGAAGGAGGGAAAGAACATCTCCTTTCAGCCCTAACAAAGGAAGCCTGTCAGTAAACACAACACCGGGCTCCTTCCCTGGCCATTGTGTCATTTGCATAGAAGAGCAGAGCTGCAAGGGACACAGAAGGGCTTTCCTAGGAGGCAGGTGACACTCGGGGTTCAAGCTGTGGCACAGAGATTTCATTCATTCTTTCATTCATTCATTCATTAGACATTTAACAGTGACTACCTGGTATCTTTTTTTTGTGTGGGGGGGTGAGGGTTTGTGACAAGGTTTCTCTGTATTGTTTTGGAGGCTGTCCTGGAACTCACTCTGTAGCCCAGGCTGGCCTCGAACTCACAGAGATCCACCTGCCTCTGCCTCCCGAGTGCTGGGATTAAAGGCGTGCACCACCAATGCCAGGCTTCCTTTAAAATCTTTTACTGGTGTTGTTTTGGTTTGATTTTAGGATCCCAAATCTTCCCAGCAGAGTCAGTTCTATGTAGGAGACTAATTAAAAGTTGGTTTGAGCAGGTTGACCATTCATTTGGCTTACGTGACAAAAGGCTGACAATTCTTTCCCCTTGAATCAGTTTAATGATTGGCCTGGGGACTTCTGGTTTTGTTTTTCTGGTTTTCCTGCTGAATGCACAATTTGCTTATCACTAGGATGAAGATTGCTGCTCAAGAAAGGGAAATGAGAGAGAGAGACAGACAGACAGACAGACAGACAGACAGAGACAGAGCTCATGTATATAGAGAGCATCAGGCATAGTGACCCACTCTGGTAACCCCAACCCCAAGAGAACTGCAGCCTGGGTAACACATAGGGACCCCCACTGCAGGGGGGGGAGGGGAGGAAGAGAGATCCTGGGTGAACAGAGGCGCTATTACATATGACATATTTTACACTGCGGTCCACAGAAGCAATCCCCCCACCACTGTGAGAAAGCAAACAAAATTAGCTAAAGCGAAGGAGCCCAGCCTGTTGGAGTGGCCGACTGCTCTCCCAGAGACCCTGGAGTCCAGCCTGCAGTTGGTTGACGGTTGACGTTCCCTCACAGGAGAGGGTCCTCACCTGAGATTCCAGCACATCTCGGCCTCTTGTAAGTCGGTCTGCCCTAACTGCGAGGTCCTCGTGGCCTCAGGGCCTCACTGCCTCAGGTAGAAAGTAACCTGAGCTGGGAACTCTGGGAACTCCATCCATGCCTCTGTGAGGAAGCCGCCATCCATTGCCTTGTGGTCATCCACCGGCTTATGCGTCACCCCTCACTCACGTAAGCCCAGGAAACTCACTGGTTCCCCAAGAATGACACTTCGGTTTTCAGGTGCCTGTAAGGAGGAGAGGATGTGGTTTGCACCTTCCCAGGGGAAAGTGTACCTGAGGGCTACTTCAGGACAAGGCCTGAGGGTACGTCTCAGCTGCTTATCTGCTGTGTAATAGGGCAAGGGCAGAGATGGGGTTGAGAGGCCACATGGGATTCTTTCGTTATATCCCACGTTTGTGTGTTTGTGTGTGTGTATGTGTTTGTGTGTGTGTTGGTGTGTTTGTGTATGTGTTTGTGTGTGTGTTTGTGTGTGTGTTTGCGTGTGTGTGTATGTTTGTGTTTGTGTGAGTGTTTGTATGTGTGTTTGCATGTGTTTGTGTGTGTGTTTGCGTGTGTGTATGTTTGTGTTTGTGTGAGTGTTTGTATGTGTGTTTGCGTGTGTTTGTGTGTGTGTTTGTGTGTGTGTTTGCGTGTGTGTATGTTTGTGTTTGTGTGAGTGTTTGTATGTGTGTTTGCGTGTGTTTGTGTGTGTGTGTGTTTGCGTGTGTGTGTTTGTGTGTGTGTGTGTGTGTGTGTGTGTGTGTGTGTGTGAGCCAGTTACTCTTGGAAAGGCCATGGACTGGAATGCACAGTGAGTTCTCACCTCTCCCCTGTGAGGAATCAGATCTCGCTCTCTCCCTTTTGTTCTTTTTTGTTTATTTACTTACTTATTTTTATTTATTTAGACAGGGCGCCACTTCATCCAAACTCCACTCAAACTCACTATGTAGCCCAGGCTGGCCATGAAGCCCTAGCATTGCAGGTACCCACTTTCCTTCTTTCCTTCTTACTGAAGATCAGTATTGGTGTCCATTCTTCCTGGGCGATTTTTGAGTGAAAACCCTGACAAGCAATGAAACCAGCCAACCCTGTACAATCTGTCACTGTCCCCAGAACGACAAACACCCATTCCACATATCACTTAAACAAACATTCCATCCATGAGGGTGAGCTCAGATGACAACGCACTGGTTAATTTGTGAGAGCTTAGGTTCTAAATTAATAATAGTAGTAGCAGTTGTTTTAAGAGCTCGCTAAATTCAGGGACCAGCGGTCTTAACTCACAATCACCACACACACAACCTCACATACACAGAATTAAAAATCATTAAAAATTAGTCCTAGTGGTGGTGGCGCTCGCCTTTAATCCCAACACACTGGAGGCAGGGCAGAGGCAGACAGACTTCTGAGTTTGAGGCCAGCCTGGTCTATAAAGCAAGTACCAGGACAGCCAGGGCTACACAGAGAAACTCTGTTTTGAAAAAGCAAACAAAAAAGATATGAAGTTCCTATTGTAAAATCTCATTCTGTCCAGATAACCGTGGGTCCTACTGCTGAAAGACAAACTATGATTTGAATTCTAGCCTAAGGCATTCACTTGGTAGAGAGGGGTTCAGTTTGGTTGCGGATTATGAGTCTTCCAAAATCCCTTTATGGATATCACTTGCGGATGTGCTGAGTCGCATGCATTTAACAGTGCTGTCCTTTTCTGTTTGTTTGTTTGTTTGCTTGCTTGCTTTTTGAGACAGGGTTTCTCTGTGGCTTAGGAGGTTGTCCTCCAGAGTGCTAGGATGCATACCACCAACAGAGCTGCCTTTTAAGGCCTGAGAGCCATCAGGAAGCCCTAGAGAAAGCTGCTGTTCTGGTGTTGGCCTCGGGAGCCAACTGCTTATCCTCCTCCTTCAAGACAAACTCTCCAACAGCCCAGGCTAGCCCTGTCGTTATATAGCCGAGGATGACCCTGAATGTCCGAGCTTCCTGCCCTTGACTTCAAAGAGCTATGGATCACAGGTGTGTGCCACGACACCTGGTTTATGGGGTGCTGGGGACCGAACCGGGGGTTTCCTGAATGCTGGGCCAGTGTTCTAGGAACTGAGGTGTTAATACTTCCTTACCTACTGTCCAGCTCTCTCATAGTTCATCTGCCTGGAAAATTAACTGATCATACCACAGTAGTGACATCTGCCCATTTTCTTGAACAGCATCTAACAGTCACCCTGCTGCCGTCTCATCACTACCCAATCAGAAACAGTGTAACAGCCACCCTGCTCATCACTACCCAATCAGAAATGGTGTAACAGCCACCCTGCTTCTATCTTACTACCGCCCTGTTGCCTGCTCCCTTTCTGGAGACTAAACAGAGAATGTTTGAAAAGTCGTGGTTGAGCCGGGCGTTGGTGGCGCAAGCCTTTAATCCCAGCACTCGGGAGGCAGAGGCAGGCGGATCTCTGTGAGTTCGAGGCCAGTCTGGTCTACAGGGCAAGTTCCAGGACAGCCTCCAAAGCAAAACAGAGAAACCCTGCCTCAAAAAAACAAGAAAGAAAGAAAGAAAGAAAGAAAGAAAGAAAGAAAGAAAGAAAGAAAGAAAGAAAGAAAGAAAGAAAGAAAGAAAGAAAGAAAGAAAGAAAAGTCATAGTTGAGTTCATAGGGTTGTCGCAATATCTGAATCCAGACAGATTCTTGGCAGGTAAAAAGAAGGCTCTGTGAGCGCAGTTGGAGCATTGCACGACCAGATTCAAAGTCAGGCTCACGTCAGGCTCACTGAGCCAGAGGGAACAGATTCAAAGTCAGGCTCACTGAGTCACAGGGAACAGGCGAAACAAGAGAGGAAGACAGTGGCCGAGGGATACTTTAAAAAAATAACTTATTTAAATTTATTTTATAGGCACTAGTGGGAAGGTGTCTGATCCCCTGGAATCAGAGTTACAGACAGGTGTGAGCTGCCGTGTGGGTGCTGGGAATTGAACCAGGGTCCTCTGGAAGAGCAAACAGTGCTCTTAACCACTGAGCCATCTCTCCAGCCCTCTCAGGAACACTTTTTTCCCCTCAAAATATAACTACATATTTAAATCATCCTCAACAAGCCAGGCATGGGGACATAGGTCTGTAACCCCAACACTATGGAGGCAGAGGTAGGAGAATCAGGAATTCAAGGTCATCCTTGACTACTTAGTGACTTTGAGGCTAGCCTGAGCTACATAAAGCCCTGTTACAAATAGAAAACCTAATTAATCCGTTAATTAAAAATCACTTTCCTAAGCTAGGTATGGTGGCTAGTCTGAAGCTCATCTGGGCTGCATACTGGAGACATCTCAAAACAATGAAAAAAAAAGAATAAATAACAGCCCATGTTTGTAATACAACGAGTATGCTAAGCAGTGACATAGTGAATATGCTAAGAGGGCACCTGGAGTTTGCTGGGCACTCTCAGAAGCTCCTCTGGTTTCTAGATCTCTCCTTAGCATTCCTTTTGAAACAGCTCAGACCTGTAGAAAGGCCAGGGAAGATCCTATCTCAAAAGCCCCGGTGGTTGGATCACCTGTCATGATGATGGCAGTCACCATGTTTGCTTTGGGTCCAGGGACTGACCAGACTCACCCATGCCTGGCTTCTGAGATGAGAGGAGATTATGTGTGTTCAGGGAAAACTGTAAACACCATGTGTCATTTATGTGTCCTTAGGAATTTGAAATTATAGCCTGTGAGTTGTCACTAAACCCCTCTGGTTATGTAGCTAAAACAGGATTTTTATATAACCACAGTGCTCCCCAAATATCCTCCTCCTCTTCCTCTTTTTCATTTTTTTTTGAGACAAGGTCTCCCCATGTAGCCCAGGCTAGCCTCACCCTCATAGCCCTCTCTCCTGAGTGCTGGCTTGACAGGTATTCACCACCATACCCAGTTTGTCCTAAATATCTTTTCCATCTGGTTCATTCAGTTCATGTTTGATCATCATCAGAAGGCTGAAATTGGCTTGGTTTATTCAGCCCTGAGTAGCTCATTACCTGTGGGTGAGGTCTTTACCTAGTTTCAATTGCGCTTATTTATTCCTATGTGTGTTTGTGTGTGCATGTGTGTGTGAGGGTGTGGTGTGTGTGTGTGCGCGCGTGTGCTGTGTGTACCGAGTATGAGTTAGTGTGTGTTGGGGGTGGGGTGTGTGCTCTTACGTGTTTGAGACCAGAGTTGCTCTCTCCTCCTTCCGTCATGTGCCTCCTGAGGACGGACCTCAGGGGCCAGTGCCTCTGCCCACTAAGCAGCCTCTCCAGCCCCTTCTCTGCTTTTTTATCAGTAGAATAATTCTATGGATCTCAGGGACAGTGTGCTGTTTCAACAGGGGATACAGATGTGGACTCAACGGTTCGATTCCTTAATGTCTGTAGGAACTGTGAGTGAGGCTTGTGTTCCGTGACTCTGTGCGTGAGCACACATGAGTAGGTGGGTGAGTCCACTCACATACGTGTGCTCAGAGACCGCAATAGGAGTCGGTGTGTCATCCTCAGTCACTCATGTCCCTATTGTCTTTAGCTACGGTCTCTCACTGAATTATTTTCTCCTTTCCTTTGCCCTTCTTCTTTCCTTCCTTCCTTTTTTTTCTTCTTCTTTTTGTTTTTTTTTTTTTTTTTTTTAGTTTTCATGAGACAGGGTTTCTCTCTAGCTTTTGGAGCCTGTCCTGGAACCCGCTCTGTAGGCCAGGCTGGTCTCGAACTCACAGAGATCCACCTGCCTCTGCCTCCCGAGTGCTGGAATTAAAGGTGTGCACCACCAACGCCCGGCTTTTATTCAGTTTTTTAATATATATGTTTCTCTATGTACCAGGCTGGCCTTGAACTCACAGAGTTCCAACCTTCCACTGCCACCTAGTGCAGGGATTAAAAGGTGTGTGCCAACAAACCCAACTTCTCACTGATCTCTAAGCTCACAATTGTGGTTAGGCCAGTTGGCCAGCGAGCTCTCAGAATCCACCTGTCTCACCCCCCAATGCCGGGGTTGCAGGCAAAGCAGCCTTGCCAGTCTCTTACATGGCTGCCCAGGCTTCAGACTCCAGTCCTTGTGCTTGCGGGTGAGGACTTTTACCCACTGAGCCATCTCCCAGCTCTGTGTCTGCCTCCACTCCCGCTTTATTTTGGTGCTGTGAGAGAAGCGAACCGAGGGTGTCGTACATGCCAGGCAGGTGTTCTACCACTGAGCTACCCAGTCACTGTGCATCCTTGTTAAAAATCAAAAGAAGGCCAGGAACCATGGGGTATACCTGTAATCCCAACACTCAGGAGGCCTGGGCAGGAGGGTTGTGAGTTGGACCAGTCTGGGTTACATAGTGAAATGATAGCTCAAAAAAAGAAAGAGAGAGGGAGGGAGGGAGGGAGGGAGGGAGAGAGGGAGGGAGGGAGAGAGGGAGGAAAGAAGGAAGAAGGGAGGGAGGGAAGGAGGGAGGGAGGGAGGGAGGGAGGAAGGAAGGAAGGAAAGAAGGAAAGGAGGGAGGGAGGGAGGGAGGGAGGGAGGGAGGGAGGGAGGGAGGGAGGGAGGGAGGGAGGGAGGGAGGGAGGAAAAGTCTGGTGGTGGTGCTCACCTTTAACCCAGTACTCAGGAGGCCGAGGCAGGTGAATCTCTGTGAGTTCAATGCCAGCCTGGTCTGTAGAGTTCCAGGACAGCCAGGGCTACACAGAGAAACCTGTTTCAAAACAAAAGAGAGTCAGGAGTGGTGGCGCACACCTTTAATCCCAGCACTCAAGAGGCAGAGGCAGGCAGATTCTGTGAGTTCGAGGCCAGCCTGGTCTACAGAGCGAGTTCTAGGACAGCCAGAGATGCACAGAGAAACTCTGCCTCAAACAACAAAACTCCAAAACGAAAAAAAAATTCCTGGAAAGCCAGGCCTACACAGTGGGACCTAGTCTAAAAAGACAGACAGACAGACTAGTTCTCTCCCAGTTCACTACGTTTCTTTCTTCCATGACACACATTTGAAGAGTCCTAGGCAATTCTCCTACATAGGATCTTGCCCTCAGGTCAATTAGGGGCATGTTAAGCCTGGGTCCCATCGCCAGGTAACAAATATGGCAGAACCACCTTCTGGGCCTGAGGGCATAAAGTGCTTGCTGTACTAGCATGAGGACCTGAGTTCGAATCCCCAGTACCCACAGGAAAAGTCATTTCTTATGAGGAATCGTCCTTTTGACTTTTTGACAGTTAACATTTAGGAGGTGGGCATAGTAGCCCACATCATTAACCCCAGCACTTGGGAGGCTGAGGCAGGAGGATTGCAATAAGTGTGAGGCTAGTCTGGGCTATTAGTGAGACCCTGTCTCAAAAGATAAAGGAGAAAAAAAATGTTGTGTACTCTCTAATCCAAGGCTACCTGGATTGTACAAGGAGTTCATAGCTTGCTGGGTTACTTTAGGGGTCCCAAAATAAAAAGCAAGATTAAAGTCTGCAGTCTATTTCAGTGGTAGAACACTTTAAGACTTTCTTTTTTTAACCATGAGTATGATATGAGTGTTTTGCCTCCATGCTCTTGGAGGCCAGAGCAGGGTGCCAGGTCCCCTGGAAGTTGAGCCACAGACAGTTGTGCGTCACCATGTGGACAATGGGACATGAATGTAAGTCCTTGCAGGAACAGTCAGGGGAGCGAGTTCCAGGACAGCCTCCAGAGCAATACAAAGAAACCCTGTCTCGAAAAACCAAAAAAAAAAAAAAAAAAAAAAAAAAAAAGAAAAGAAAAAAGAAAGAAAGAAAGAAAGAAAAGAAAAAGAACAGTCAGGGCTCTTAACCACATCTCTCCAGACCCAGCATTTTCTTTCTTTCTTTTAATAATTTATTTAACTTTATTTTATGTGCACTGGTGTGAAGGTGTCAGATCCCCTGGAACTGGAGTTTCAGACAGTTGTGAGCTGCCATGTGGGTGCTGGGAATTGAACCCAGGGTCATTTTCTTTCTTTCTTTCTTTTTTTCTTTCTTTCTTTTTTTCTTTCTTTCTTTCTTTCTTTCTTTCTTTCTTTCTTTCTTTCTTTCTTTTTTTGGTTTTTCAAGACAGGGTTTCTCTGTATTGTTTTGGAGGCTGTCCTGTAACTCACAGAGATCCGCCTGCCTCTGCCTCCCGAGTGCTGGGATTAAAGGCTTGTGCCACCACCGCCCGGCTAGCATTTTCTTAATATGCAGGAAATCCACAATAATGGGAGAGATTGGGGTGCTCTTGCCACGTTACTCACTGATGATAAAAAGCACAGTGAGAC